ATTAAACAAATATCTCAGCATTTCTTCCACGAAAGATTCAGTATCTCGCCAAATGCAGCATCCGCAGAACTTCCTTGTACATATCCATTCTTGTTCGACGTTCCAGAATCCACAGTCGCCGACAGACTAATCTGAATCCTCGCATCTTTCTTCTGGCATACCGATGCCTCTGTATCCGACACTTCACCATCCTTGTGCAAGAGGAAGTCATCCTCAAAAGGCCCTGTTATCTTTTTTTGGATGTTACCCTGTGGTTCGCGTCAGTACTTCCAAGCAACATTCTCAGCTACCAGTACCACATACCTTGCCTTTGAGATCAACTCCGTTCTTATCAATCCATTTCCATCTACTGACCAAGCTAGCCTGCACACCCTTCTCAATATACACGTATCCGCGGAAATCAGCTGAATTGACGTCGAACGCCCATCCAGGCGATGTCATGCCGATATTTACCCTGCAGAACGCGCGTGTACTCGCGCCTCCAGCTTTTGGTCCGTCAGAGGCGGAGAAGTTGTCGAAGATGATGGTCAAGGCGGAGTTATCGGAGGCGAGCATAACGCTGGCATCGCCGGGTCTGCATCCACTTCCTTCCAGATCGACGTCGAGAGTCGTTAGGGAGACTTTGCCTTTGGGTGGCAGGACGGGTGCCGCGGCGAGAGATACTGCCTGCGGGATGGCAGCGACGACTGCTGCATACAGAACAAGGAATAATACTAGGAGGAGCGACGACATGGTGTGGTAACGCGGCGGATGGCTGTTTGAAACATGATGAAGGTAAATATCAAGCCTTATACTATTTCTTTAGTATCGTGAGATCAAAAACCGCCTTCGCCTGCCGTTACCCTTGCTCCTCGAGAACAATTCTTCGGTTGCGGCTGAAGGGCAGTGAAGTCAGATCCCAATATGCAGTATTGTACGGCAATTGGCATTGCTATTCCCAGGATCTCGGATGAACTTGGTTAGCACATGACTCAGCCTGGGACTCAATGTCCCGACAGATTGTTCGAAAGTGAGATAGGATTTAGCCTATGTGCAGCGCTCCACACGAAATAATTCAACGCACATCGTATATTGCCAAAGTCGCACGAACCGAAGCAACGGTTGTTATTTTTAGTCAATTCGATAGATTCGTGTATTCTTCTTACGTTGCGTTGAAAAAATTGTAGGCGCAAGCTCGTAAACTCGGGTTAGGATGAAGATAGATGTGAAAGCATTTATGGTTCCCGCTCATCATAAACTAGAGGAATGAATCGGATTTGTCTAGCCGACTTTAGATACTACAGGATAACTGGTTATTACTACGGATCTCTTTGTCTCAACCTACACAGCTTCAGTTCGTTGCGCAGGTGCTTTTTCGTGGTGCTCGCTCTCATAGTCAGCATCCTTCCCATCAGCCTGCACAATAAACTCTTCGCGCTTCTCGAAACCAAACAGTTGATCCATCTGATCCATTCGCAATCCTTTCGTATCGTGGATGAAGAAGAAGGCGTAGATGCTAGCGCAGATAAGACACGTTGCAAAGAAAACGTACACGCCCCACTCCATGGAGGTATACATAGAAGGCAACGATTTGGTCGCGATCAAAGTCCATATCCAGACCGATGCTGCCGCCCATGGTCCAGATATGGAGCGCATAGACGCAGGGAAGATTTCTGACGAGATGATCCAGGGGAGACCGTTTGCACCAAATGACCAGGCCGCACCGAAGATCATAATCATGGCTGTTGCGGCCTTGCCTCCAGCGATTGTCGACTCGGACATGGGCTCGCCTACGGTCGGCTTTCCAAGCGCAATGTATACGGCGAGGTAGTACTGGCAGAAAGCACAGATCAGCGAAGAGATAATCCAAGGCCATTTCCGTCCGAACATGTCGATAAACCAGGTAAAGAAGATGATAGAACCTCCGGCTTTGATGATTCCATAGATACCTGTCCAGAGAGTGACGTCAGACAGTCCGATGGAAGTGAAGATGATAGGCGAATAGTAGTTGATGGCTGTAATAAAATTGTTAGTGATTACTCGTTTTACACGTTGCGCAGGAGGTTTGTACATACCTGCTGCACCACTCCATGCTTGCCACATGAACATAAGGAATACTAGGAGAAACCTATTGCGCATGCCTGGCATAGCGCCTTCTCTTGCTGCGGCCTTGATCGTTGTGAGGAAGCTAGCATGCTTCTCGCCATGAAGGAGTGCGGCACGCTCCTTTGCGATCTCGTTTCGCACGTACTGGACATCTTGGGCAATATATGGGTGGTCCTCCGGTAAGTTGCGGAAATAGCTGTAAGACTTCAAAGCCTCAGCTTCACGACCACGCTTCAGCAGCCAAGTTGGAGACTCCTTCAGAACTGGGATCATGAGGGCCAGGAGCCCAGCGGGGATGAGCTGAACAGCCATGGGCACTCTCCAAGCGATGGATTTTGAGCTGTCCATGTTGTGTACGATGCCATAGTTGATCCAAAATCCGATGACGGCACCGGTTTGGTAGAAGGACTCAAAAAAGCCAGTGAGGCGTCCACGAATAGCGGGAGGTGATATTTCGGCGATATAGATGGGAGACACTGCAGCTATACCTCCTACGCCCATGCCGGTAAAGAAGCGCCCGGCAAGTACGAGACTCAATTGGTCTTTGGGGACTGCATAACACAGTCAGTATGGCATGGCATGCACCGTATGGGGGATTGCTGCTTACCAGTACACATAATTGCGCCCACGATGAAGATAGCGTCCGAGATGATTACCGTAGCACGGCGACCGAGGAGCTCGAGGAACGGGTACATTAGTAGCGCTCCTACCAATCCTCCAGCTGAATAGATGGAGGTGATATTGCTGGTTATCTCGTTTTTGTTCGACGCATTGATGCCAAAGTCTCGTTTGAAGGACTCCTGGGCGATGGTAGTGCCGATGAAGGCAGAGTCATAACCATAAGCCAAAACACCCATTGAAATCACGAGCGCGGCCATGTAGACCCTCCAGTTGTACTATGAGCCATATTAGTGCCTTATCAGATCGCGATCGTTCGAGATGATGAGAACTTACAACTTCCGGAGGGGTTGGCCGGTCCTCGGGGGCGCGAGCAAAACCACCCATGATGACTGTCAACTAAAACAAACAATGTTCAAGTTACGGGATGTATATCGAAGCTGCAAAGTTCTGCAGTTGTCACGATGCCGATCTCAAACCTGGGGTTCCCACGTTCTTTTTAACCAAGCTCGCTTCCCCACAAAACACCCAGGCTATCGGAGGCGGACGACCAGGTTGCCACATCCGAGCATCAGGCTTCCCCAGTGGAGTCTCCAGAGATGGCTTATTCTCGTCGCGTGGGTTTGGTGGCGTGAACAGGAAGCTCGTGGAACTAGTGCAGCCGACAGGCGAGGCTGGCGAGCTGGATTCGGCAAACAAACGTCACTATCGCGATCGTAGCCGACAGCGAATCGCTTGCTTCCAGAGCCGATCGAACATCCACACATCTCCACGCCGAAGCGCGTCTTCTCGCATATGCTCCATCGTAGTACCGGAACGCGTCGCGCAGCCGTGGATGCCAAAATGTGGCGGTTTCGCTCTGATCCAAACACATCCTCCACTCTCGATTCTCCTCTCTACTTGCTTGTATCCTGAGATCTTTACAAAATGCCATCCGCAAACGGCACCAACGGCACCACAACATACTCCTTTCCGCCAGGAATCCATGTCCCCTCCTTGACTTGGTTCAAGAACGACACGAATCAAGAGATTGATTGGGATGTCCAAGAGAAGCATTTTGAGTTCTTAATCTCAAATGGCCTCCACGGAATCGTCATCGCAGGAACAAATGGCGAAGCAGCAACATTATCATCCGCCGAGAAGACACAACTTGTCCAAAAAGCCCGCAAGACAGCACAGCGCCTTGGTCGTGGAGAACTCCCCATCACAATTGGAGGTGTAGCAGGCTGCACCCGCGACGCGATACAGCAAACCATCGAAGCGAAGGATGCAGGTGCATCGTACTATCTAGCACTGGTGCCATCCTACTTTCACTTCTCCATGAACCAAGATGCAATCGTAGCCTATTTCCAGGAATTGGCCGACGCATCGCCCATACCCATCGTCCTGTACAACTTCCCCAATGTAGTAGCTGGTCTGGACATCAACTCCGAGATGCTGGACATCCTCGGCAAGCATGAGAACATTGTAGCAGTCAAACTCACGTGCGGAGGTATTGCAAAGGTGGCAAGAATCAGTGCGGCATTTGAGAAGTCAGAGTTTGTTGCTCTTGCGGGTCAAAGCGACTGGCTCATACCGGCTCTGAGCGTTGGTGGAGTTGGCACTATTACTGGTGTTGCAAACTTGTACCCTAAGGTATGTAACTACATGCGATATATCGCTGCGATGAAAAGCTAACAGCTCAGGCCTGTCTACACATGTTCGACCTTTACCGATCAGGCAAGCACGATGAAGCGTCAGCCCTCCAGATCAAACTCTCAGTCACCGAGTGGGGTTTCGGAAAGGGCGGTATCAACGGCACAAAGTACGTCGTTGCGCACAAGAGAGGATACCCAGAGAACAGCGCGGACTGCCGAAGGCCTTACCCGCGATACACAGATGAGGAGAAGAGGAAATGGGTTGTGAACCAGGTATCAGGTCTCGATGAGCTGGAAGCATCGTTGTAAAGTGATGCTCCGCAATGAAAATCTTGAAACATTGCTTTCTTGGCTATGGGAATCTGTCGCGTGAAAAGATGCTCTTAGATCGACCATTGCTCTCTTAAATCCCTCAGCACGCCGTCTGTCCTCCAACCTATCAATTTCTGCAATTGTTCCAGATACTCCACACAAGCCTGCTGCTCTCTCGGATCGATGATATATGCTCCACACGCGCTTAGAATATGGCTACCCTGGAACATGGCATTTCCACAATGACTATTACTCACGCCATATCCTATCGTTATCCTCATGTGCTTGCGAATAGCTGCGTCAGTAGATTTTCTAGCACGGACACCAGCGAGCCCCACCAAGGACGCGTTAGGCGAGTATATAGTCAGCAGTATCTTGCAAAGGTGGTAGTACTGCAAGCCAACTGTTATAACCCCCCGCGGACATAGTAATTCAGGCCAACTCCCTTCGAACTTGTCACCCGCATCGGACTCGATGTAAAAGGGAGAAAACGTCCAAGGTTTTGTCCGCTCCCACTCATCTACTTCGTCGCTCAAATCTTTCCATGTTTCTCGACTGACGTTTTCACTGCCGTTGTTGCTGCCTCCAAATACTGTTTGCAGAACGACGGCAAAGAGGAATATGATACGGTTCGCCCAGCTTTCGTCGTCAAACTCGCTGAAAACAGCGGAGTGCCGGTAGTTCTCGAGGCTAAGATTGAGGGGTTTTTGGGTCGTCAGGGAGACGTAGATGTGTTGGCGGAGAGACACCCAGGATGCCGACTCGCGGAGGCCACCGTCCGCGGCAAAGGACGAGATACTGTTCAGTATACGGGCGGTACCCTTAAGATCAAACCTCGGTCAGCAAGAATGTGCAGTCAAGTTCGATGAAGAGAAAGCGTACAAGGTGGTGGCAGTGTTCGTCGGTATCGCCCATCTCCTCGTGAAGGCGAAGCAGAATAACGGCGATAAGGAAGTTCTCATCCCAATGCGCAAGCGGATCCTCGAGCGCCACAATCAGTGCTTGTAAGCACTGATCTACATATGGCTGCGACAAGTCTTCCACAACTTTGCCCATCAGCCAGCAGTGTCTTGCGGCAAGACCCAGTATGCCATTTAATATGACAGGAAAATGGACTGCACGCTTTGGTACCTCGGTACTGAAGTGTTGCCGTGAGTCACATACATCGATCCAATCAGTACAGAAGAAGAGGTAATGATGGAGAAGCCGGGCTTCATACGCGTTGTTCACGGGCCATTTAAGTGTTGGCACTGATGAAGGACTAAAAGCCGTAGAGTTGTAAGGAGACTGGTTGTTGTTGATCGACCCGAAAGGGCTCTTCTTTGACAGATTTGGGGACTGCGACAAACGTTGAAGTGATCCGGGGCTTGCTTGCCAGTGGCTTGTGTTCGCTAGTTGATTTATTGAAGAGACGGCTCGAGTGCTTTGCGATGTACTGTTACTGCCACCATTATTGACGTTAACTAAGGATGGTGGGATGTGAGTATTGAGAACGTCATGAATAGACGGCAAATCGCTACTATCATCGAATTCTGGAATCGGAACAGTCGCAAACGGGTTCAGGTCACGATATGACGACGCCAGCTGGCTCTCGCTGGAACCTCTGTTCAAACGTTGGTCTGTCTGCCGGGATTTCGAGGCAACATCGAGATCGTTGGGTGTGCTTTCGGAATTCGCTTCGCGTTCCGGCGCAGCTTCGTACTCCTCTTCGTCACCGCTGTCCTTGTTAGGTTCAACAAAGTGCACTATGGCCACTTTTTGTCAGCCACTATTGTTAGGCAGGACCTGGCGCCTACGCACACGAACTTGGGATATCCACCCACTGCTGCCCCACCCGGAATTCGAGAGACTGTTCAGCAGAGCCTATATCTTCACCGGCATTAAACTTGACTGCCGTGACGGGCCGGAAGCGGAAAGCATTGCCGCGAATGCAAGGCTTCCTGCGCTCAGTGCAGTATTTGCATTTTTCCGAGTCGCGCAACTTAACACCTATAAGTGTCTATTATTAAGCGTTAAGATCTCATCGGACAGTAAGACATCGTACATTTGATATGACGCTCACGACAGGCTTTGCTGTCGAGTAGTCAGTGCATGCATTCAGATGATTCCGCGGGTTTGACTGACCATCCGCTTCTTTGCCTCATCGTACAATCCGGGTCCCAGGGAATGTGAATGATCGAGTTGCCACGTTGAGCCGGGAAACCGAGCCCATGTTGTCAGTTTTCGTTCGGGCTACTTACCCCGCCCGTTTCGTATGTAATGTTCCAACTATGGCACGCGTTGTCTCAGCTTGAGCGAGACGAATCGAAGCTCGCGGAAATCTTTCCGGTTGGGGTGATGCTCCGAGCGCGATCCGCAATCTGATTGGTCTAGACTTGTGCAGGAGATGACAAGTGCTGTCCGCATTGACCCGTAAATGGCAAGGCTTTCCGCGTTGCCACTTTCGCCGAGATCGAGGCTCAGTGCCTGGAGAGGACTAACAGAGCAACAGCATGTGGACTTTGAGTGCGTATTGAAGCTGAACTGAACCCATCATACGATTGCGAAATGATTTGAAGACGCGAAATACTCATGGCTGACAAGACGCACGTCGACCCTTCGCTTTCCTTCATCTTGCCTCCTTTGGACTTCTTCTAGAAGATCGGCGGTAGCCTTGGCATTGGTGGCGATACTCTCGAGACTGCGAATTGCTTCAATGATCCATCGTCTCTCTTCGTTGTCGTCCTCTTCACAACCCCACATGAGTAGAGGCCATAGGACGTTGACTGGTAGCGACTCGTCGGCCTGCGCCATCAAACGGGTTAGGCGCTTTATACTTGCGATGGCGCTTATGACATCCCTGGTCTTGGGGTACTGCACATACGCGACGCGGTGTAAGTGTATGAACGAGGCGTGGTAGTTGGCGAGATATGTGCGAAGACTTCGAGTGAGTGCACCTGCTAGGTTCTTGGCCAGATGTTTCTCAGTGAGATTTCCAGCGACCGCATGATCCATCAATGCCGGTCGCTGACCGTAAAGCGCATGCAAGTCCTTGGAAATCTGTGCTGCAATAGCCATCACTTCTGTCTCGTCCTGAACAGTGCCGCGTGTACGATGCCAGGGGTCAATGCGTGCGATGCGGCCAGCGAAAGACTGCACCTTCTGATAGAAGATAATTCCGGGGTGATATAACACGTCAAACAGAATTTCCTCAATCTCAGTGTCTGACGTGTCCGGCTCTGACCCAGTATTGGCAGCTGGTGATGCATCGAAGATGGTCTCATCAGTATCAGCCAAAAAGAGTCCTTCACCACCTGCCGTTGATATAGCACGTGCATCGAGAAGACGCAACCAGGAGATGAGTCGGCGTTCTGGGACGGAGAACTTAAGCTTATCCGCACCTTTTATGAGCATGTAAGCTTCTCGTAAGTTGGCGTGGGCTCGTGGCAGCATTTCTGTAAGGAGGTCGGTATAGGTAAGCAAGAAAAGAGCGGCGAGCATGTGCCTAAGATCACTATCTTCAACCGCTCGAGTCTTTGCAAGGCGGCCTGATACCTGTCTAGTTGCGATGTCATACAAAGGCCTCCAATCTGCCTTGACCATATCGCTACCTAGCCCGCTACGCTGCATTTGCATCGCGGCGAACGCTATGATGGCACTCTTGACGGTAGGTGACTCTGCAGCCAGAGTGGCAAAGAAGGCGCGGGTAGATGCCCACTTTGGGCCAATCTCCACCGGCGTAAGGATAGGTGGCATGAGCATCTGAAGAAATGTATGCAAGAGATAGTCTTCGTTCGGTCCATTCGGGACATCCTCGGTCGAGAAAGGTGAAGTTGAAGCTGGATCAGGTTGGTGTGGTCTGCGCTCTGGCAATTCGCGCGCTCCGTTGCTTACAGCAGAATTGGCTCCCAAAATCTGGCTTGAAGACCTATGAGTGTGCGGGAGTTGGTGGATAGATTGCGACGCAGGGTCGGCATGTGTATTCATGGTCGCGAAAGACCCGTTGTCGGTGGGCCATGAGCTAGGACTCAACAGCATGGCTTCATCCCAGGTGCCTAAACTCAATGGCCCAGATAGATCAAAACCAAACCCATATCCGTCTAATGGTAGTGGGCCAGAAAAGAAGGGCTGGTGCTGACCCTGTCCCATGACGAACGACTGGGATGGCTTGGAAGTGCTGTTGCGGTGCCATGTGCCTGAATTTTGGTGTATGGTATCAGTCTATGTCTGACATGCATTTCGTGCCCTGAAGTTTGAGCTTACAGTCGAGGTTTAATCTCTCACAATGACCACAACGTGGCCTTTGCTCATTACATCGCACTTTTCGTCTCCTATGTCGATGAGCGTTGGTGGTGAGCAACAAGGGATTCCCACGTACCTGCACGCATTGCAACCGTTCTTTGATCGCGCAGGACGAGGTGGGGCCGGCGACGATTCAGTTGCTGGTACTGGAATTGCCGACGGTGGCTGACTTTGTACAGGCTGCGACATAGGCGATGAGGAGTTTTCATTAAAGATGGTAATGAACCTGACAGCGATGACAGGGGTAAAACCGTTTATGTACAACATGCAGCGAAGCGGAGAAATGCAAGTAGTACATGTGTGGGGGCCAATGAGCTTAGCCGCCATGCCCCGGGGAGGTTCGCGCCGTTCGATCGCATTTTGCGCGCCCTCACCATGATCGTGTATCTTTTTTTCTAGGATGTACAACTCGACGCCATAGCGCACCATAAAGGCATTCGTCATCCTTTTTCTTGATAGCTAATGAACTCATAATATAGCGAATACTTCCAGGGTCAGTTCACCTAGGTACAGCTTGGAAAAACGAGCTTCTTCCTAACAATGCGAACGGCCTTTCACATCCATCGATTAGAGACACATTCGCAAATCTATGAAGCCCCCAAACACCTCATGCTATGCAACAAAAACAAATCTTTTTACTCTTGCTGCGCCGGTCCTCGCTCTCGTCGCCAGATCTTCACTGGCATCTCCCCCAGGATCCAGTTCATCGTCTCTAATCGTTGTAGCTCCCAGTTTGGACTGCTCAGCGCAAAATCATAACGTCGCAACACGCTCGCGAGTACCACAGTTTGCTCAAGGTATGAGATGTTGCGCCCAATGCAGCCTCTTGCACCTGCCGAAAAGGCCAAGAAATAGGGTTGCAACGCCTTGCCCTCTTCACCCAGCCAGCGCTCCGGAATATACTTGTCGGCTTGCGGGAATATGGACTCTTGTCGATGCGCAACATATGCAGATATAGCGACGGAGACACCACCTGGAATGTAGTCACCGAGGATGTTTGTGCCTTCTGTTGGCGTCTGTCGCGGAAGCCCATGAGGGGTCGGTGGGAAGAGGCGGAGCGACTCGTCGAGGCACGCACGGAGGTACGGTAGATGCTTCACCCTATCATAGGCGACTACTCCATCACCTTCCTCTTCGTCATCTTCCAAGGCAGAATCAATCTCATGTACTAACTTTTTCTTGATTTCCGGATGCTTGATCAGTTGATGCATGACGTTTGCCATCGCAATTGCTGTCGTCGCTGATCCGGCGTTCATCATGATGCTCACTTCCGCGATAATCTCGCCCCACTCCAGGTTGTTTGGATGGCCATTCTTGTCCTCCATCAGTGTCTGGAAAAAGTCGTCGAGCTTCTCTCCTGCCCTATATCGCTCTAGGCGCTTGTGGGCAAGCTGAACTGGTATGCCTTCCCATTCGTTTGCATAGTCACTCATGCGCTTGTAGAAAGGAATGATGTTGGAGAGTTTGTTGATCAGCGGGTACCAGTCATATGGCCAAATCAACAACGACTGTTTCCGAGCTGTGTTGTAGAGCGCCGGCCTGAAATCGCACTCATACGTCGAGCCATCTGTTCTACGTCCAGTAACCCTGTCGTGACCTCGGTCGAGGAACCCAAGTTTGTCGGAGAGTCCAATATCGGCGATGGCGTCTAGTGTGAAAAAGTTGGTCCATTTTCGATAGTCGAGGTTCAAGTCTTCGGGCTTCGGCAGTTGTCCAGAAGCCAGTGGTGCGGTACAGCACTCGTCAAAGTGTTTGAGTAGCTTCTGCGTCTTGTCGGCTACCTTGTGCTCCCAGCCCTCGAGATTCTTGATCGCATACGCGGAACTCATCAACTTCCTCTTTCGGGCATGATCGTGCTTGTCAATCACATCGGCAAGATGGTAATGTGAACCCGAAGTGACCACGTACGATCCATCCTTGGTGCAAGGGGTGTTGTGGCCATAGATGTCTTTTACAGCCCGAAGGTCGCCGTATGACAGGAAGTTGGGGCCAACACGGATAACTGGATGCTTTTGGTGTAGCTTCTCAAGGTATGTTGACCGTGCTCCGCCGTGTGCAAGCACCATGAACGGTATCGAAGAGATACCCGAGAGCGGGTGCATGTTCGGATAGCGACGAAGACCTGAGTCGTTAGTTGGTGCCTCGTGTCATAAATGATGACTAACATACCGTTTGCATCGCGGAAGTAAACGATGACAGGGTATACAACAAAGTAGAGGAAAGCGCATGTGCCTAGAGCAGCTGCATACGGGATTGAGAGAACTGAGGTCGACATGATGGAACGTGATCAACACAACAGGAAAGTTGAATATGGTCTCGTTAGCAACTCTTGAGGGCGCGCTCTGGGGTTTACTTAAGTGTTGGTTGAGGCATCTCACTGCCCGTCAACGCAGCTGTACAAAGTGGATGACGACCGGCTCCCAAGGACTCAGAAGGGTAGACTTCGGAGAATGATGGCCTATTGCGGCAAGCATTGCTACGAGCAGCATATGCGCGCTTGCAAAGTTAAACTGTGGAACCACTTGTGGACGCCGCTGATTGCTGAACTGTGGGGTAACGCGGGGGTGCCATAGTTTACTCGCCTCATGATCAACCCGACATTGGTTTACTGCGATCACACCCAAAGGCATTGGATAATTCCACGGGATTTCGAGGTGCTCCTACACTGAGGTGTCGGATTACATCAACAGATCAGGTTTGGCAATCATGCCCGTCGCCAACGCCTGGCAGGGTGCAACTGCTGGCGCATTCGTCTCCGATGGCCCGTATGCTACAAGGTGACTGAGGAAACCCCATATTATTCTACGCGAATATATTGTTCACCCAGCCCGTCGCACTTTCCGCGCCCATTTTGCATCCTTCTGATATCATGGATTCATTCAGTCTACCAGTCGACATGTCAGACCTGAGGTCACAACTTAATCCACTCCTGCAAGCGCTGAATACGGCACCTATATTCAGCAGTCTCAAGCCCTCGACTACAGCAGATGGCCTAGCTGCATTTCTGTTCCTTCTCGCGTCGCTTGGTTATCTCTCTCGTGGTCGCATTTGGGACAAACCGGATCCAAACTACCATGTAAGAAGACAGCTTCTACACGAACCTGCGTCCTGGATGTAGTAGCATTGCTGACCGTAGTGTCACTGTAGGTGTATTTTGAGAGACCGCAAGTCGCAGAGGGCTCTTCGGACGGAAAGGCAGTCACAACCCGGGACGTTTCCCAACGCCTCGATGAGGGTGGTTATCATTGCGTCATATTCTGGGGCTCACAGTCCGGTACGTCGGAGCGCCTCGCCGAAAACCTAGGTCGAGAGTGCGCCGCACGCTTTGGTATAAACTCTCTCTTGTGGCAGACCTATCCGATTACGACGCCGAAAGCATTGCCAACATCCAGAAGAAGTACTTCGCCATCTTTATCGTAAGCACGTACGGCGAAGGCGATCCTAGCGACAACACTGCTGGTCTTTGGGATTGGATCAAGCGGGTCGGCGAAAACAAGATTCGGCTTGGGAGCTTACGATACCTGGCTTTCGGCCTCGGCAACAGTAACTACAAGTACTACAACAGGGTCCTCGACGTTGTTGCGGATGCCTTCGACACTGCTGGCGCTACTGCGCTCATCCCACGCCAGAGAGCCGACGATGCCAACGGAGGAACAGAGGAAGACTACCAGGCATGGAAAGATGATGTCTTCGCTCTGCTTACTCAGATAGGTTTCCCAGGAGAAGGCTGTTACTTACGAGTCCAACATCGAAGTTGATCTCACCGCCGTGAGTCATGGTTCCGAAGAGCATTCTGTTACTTCAGCACATCATCAACGATCTGCCACCAACTCAGCCATTGTCCCCTTGACCATCAAGCACGCTCGTGAGCTGTTCACATCGGGCGATCGCAACTGCGTACATCTGGAGGTAGACCTAGGGAATATGGATATCGTGTACAAGACCGGAGACCATATCGGCGTCTGGCCAGTTAATCCTGAAGAGGAAGTCAGTCGACTGCTAGACGTCCTCAGTTTGCAAAACCGCAGGCGAGAGCGCCTTATTGTCACACCCAAGAGTGATGCCAACAAGCCGAAGATACCATGTCCCTCAACGCTTGAGACAGCTTTCCGGAACCATCTGGAAATTTGTGCTCCCATGGCCCGTAAGGCAGTGCTGGAAGTCGCACAGTTTGCGCCCACACCTGAAGCCAAATCGAAGCTTCTTGACATCGCTCAGGATCGTGAGCGTTACGAACGGTTCACAGCCTCTACACATATCACGTTCGCTAGGTTGCTCAAGCTTGTCAGCCCCGGGGTTGCGTGGAGCTCGATACCGCTCGCCTTCGTTCTGGAGAACTTGCTACCATTGCAGCCACGATACTACTCCATCTCTTCAAGCTCTGTGATATCACCACGGCGTATCGCCATCACCGCACTCGTCGTGAATAAGACCATCACAACTGTGGACCAGTCAACTGCCACTATCCATGGGCTGACATCAAATTACCTCTTGTCGGCCTCCAACCTCCAACCGGCTGCTAACACACCGGTACCCGTCTATCATCGCTCGGTCGAAAGTGGAGACCTCCAGGGTCAGGCAATCCTCGCGCACGTCAGGAAGTCGAAGTTCAAACTTCCCATCACGTCTTCGACTCAATTAATCATGATCAGCGCTGGTACTGGTTTCGCACCTTTTCGTGCTTTCCTCCAAGAGCGCGCAAAGTTGCATGCAATCGGTAAATCGATCGGCAAGATGTTGTTGTTTTTCGGTTGTCGTAACCAGAATGACTACATCTACCAAGACGAGCTGGTAAAGCTGCAGGAACAGCTAGGCGAGAAACTAGAGATCGTCACTGCGTTCTCACGAATGCAGGGGCAACCCAAGATATACGTGCAGGACCGGGTTGCGGAGCTGGCTGGCAAGGTGCTGGAGATGCTGGAGTCAGGAGCGAACATGTACATTTGCGGTAAGGCGAGCATGGCACGAGAGGTAGATATGAAGCTCGAGGAAGCTGTCATGGAGAAGAAAGGCTTGGCTGAGGTAGATGTCAAGGCATGGGCCGACGCGTTGAAAAAGCGAGGGAAATGGAAGGCGGATGTCTGGGGGTGATTTGTTCTAGAATCTAAATTTTGATCAATTTTACGAAGGGAGTGTACCCCACTTTTGACAAATTTACCCCTGCCAAGCCAAGGAACACGGACACCAAGCCTATCCGCGCCTCAACGGCAACTTGTGCGACAATTATTCCCGCTGCCTTCACTGTTCAACCTAATTTTCACGCCCGCCGTTGCATAGCAGTTAACAATGGATGTCGCTCTGGAGTTTCTCAATCCTCTTGTTTTGGACAAAGCCTACGCATGGGCGTTACCTTCTTCCGACTTCAGCTTAGGCAACTCGTCATATTCTGAGTTTTCGGCCGCTAGCAACGCGCCTACGTCCCAATGGCCACGCGACAACATCTATCGTCAAATCGTGTCGATACTCGTCATTACCCAGCTCGGTGCGACTTCTCTCTACCTTTTCTTCAGCTCTCTATCGTATTATTTTGTATTTGATCGACGACTCGAGTACCATCCTCGCTTCTTGAAGAACCAAGTCCGTCAAGAGATCAAGTCATCGCTCTCAGCCGTCCCGTTTATCAACCTTTTGACCCTGCCTATCTTCCTGGCCGAGGTTCGTGGTAAAAGCTTGCTCTACCCCAACACAAGCGACTATGGCTGGACATGGCTGGTGATCTCAGCCACCCTCTACATGGCTTTCAATGATTTTGCTATTTACTGGATCCATCGCCTGGAACATCACCCCAGTGTGTACAAATATATCCACAAGCCACATCACAAATGGATTGGTAAGTTTCGCAACACCCTACCATCACGTTGCCTTCTCGTACATATAGATGGCAATGCTAACAAAAATAGTTCCTACGCCATGGGCTGCGCTGGCTTTTCACCCGCTTGATGGGTTTGTGCAGTCGTTGCCGTACCAGTAAGTATTTCGTCACTGATGTCCTCGAAACATGGTTTCTAACAACCAGAAGTCTCTTCGTTTTCATTTGCCCAATGCAGAGGTATCTGTACTTGGTCCTCTTCGTTGGTGTTCAGATCTGGACCATCTTCATTCACGACGGCGACATGATTACGGGCCATTGGACAGAGAAGTTTATCAACAGTCCCGCACACCACACATTACATCACATGTACTTCACAGTCAACTATGGACAGTACTTCACCTGGGCCGACACCTACTTCGGCTCACATAGGGCACCGGAGCCATCGCTGGATCCTATTCATGACGCCCTCAAAGTTATGCGGGCGAAAGGACTTGTGGATGAGCAGGGCAACCCTATCAAACACACCAAAAGCGAGTAACACCTTGACTTCCCAGAGAAGTTGTTGTGTTTGGCCAATCTTCTCCACAAGATAATGCAAGGCAAGACAAACTATTTATTGCTGTTGCAGCTAAGTAGCGTTTCATGCTCTTGATTGCCTGGCCCAACAATCAGTCTCGATACGAATGGTTTTCTCTTTATGACTAGACTTATACAGCGATACTTAATGTTAATATAATGTGCATGAAACGCTCGCCATGATGTCGCCAGAATCTCGTCATAAATATCCATGTCAGTTTGATAGTAGTACGAACGCTCGAACTTGGTTATCAAACAAACCCGATACCACCACCGACGTCACCATACGCGGCTGACCTATCCTCGCTTTGAACGGCGGCGAGGACAAGTAAGACGAGTCATGAATCTGCTCCGCCGATTTGCTCCTTCTTGATTTCAAGGAGCCTTGAGTACCCATCGAGTGGGGTTGTCAATGATATCCTGCATGCTCAGACCTTGGCCTCTTCTCTGAAAACAGGAGGAAAGAAAACCTGTAGTCATCAGATCGGCACAGTATGGTACGGAAACGCAAAGCAATCCTCCTTTTAGATGTCTCTACTCGAGATTACAATCCCAAACTTATCCCAGCCCTACGGATTGATAGCCCGCACGTGTATACTCAATAGAATATGATTCCCGAGTGTCCCGAAGCCCAGTGACTTATTCGAACAGAAGACTTCTAACTTTACCAGACTATGTTGTCGTTGCCGTTGCCCGAAGTTGCTCACACATCATGTCGTGGAATTCGTGTCTCCACTTGGGCACCAAGCATGTCGAAAGACGCATGGTTCTCGGTGACCTTCTGTCGGCACTGAAGTCTTTCTAGAAGATCGCGGTAGATGGATCGGGTCATGTCCACCCAGCTGCAGCACTCGAAGTAGCAACCCCGCAGAACACGGGCATTGAAGCCCGAGCTTGTAGCACCCAACATAGCAGCTTACGCCGCGGACTTCCTATTCCCAACCCCCTCAGCCGCACGCGCGAATAGTGTTCTCGACCCGCCACGCACGCTTCGACCAATGTGCAGCAACCGATTTGACTGTCAACCAGTTGCTCCACGCCCGTTTGCCCAGCTCTCTGGGCCCACCCCCGCGTTTTCTCATGCACCCCAGCGGGTGCGAAGCGAAAAATGACGCATATCGGATGAGATTGCGGAGACACACGAGCAGAAGTCTGGGGAAAGGCCATGCGATGATGGCACACCAACTCCCAACATGGCAATCCATGTTAACTTGCCAAATTTCTTCGCATCGAGCCTGGTTGTGCGTCGCCCCGGCCCTTTCCGATGAGTAGACTTGAAACTATACGATTAGCATAAGTAGGACGTCGAATCTCCCTAAGTATGGTCTTCAATCATCGCAAGCTTTCGGGCCTCGACGGTCATCATTACATTATTGACTTCAGGTCGCCACTTTATAGCCTCCCTTAAGCTCTTCATCACAGGCAACTATCTACCAACATGGCTCAGAACTCCTCGGACGTAAAGAAGGTCGATATTTTCAACGAAAGGTCTTCCAGCATCGACAAGATTGAAGACATTACGACTGCACGCGAACATGCGGAACAAATCGCTAACCTCTCTGGTATCGAAGCAACAGCCGCTTCGAAGGCTGCTTGGCTAATCTCCATGACCGTTTCTCTCGGTGGCCTCCTGTTCGGTGTGTACCCCTGTTACTGAGTAAGATCGCTCTTGTCAACCATGCTGACTCTGTTGAGGCTACGACACTGGCTACATCTCCTCGGTCCTCGTTACTATCGGCACATCTCTTGGCCATGAACTCACTTCCTCCGAGCAAGAACTCGTCACCTCACTTACCTCCGGTGGAGCACTCGTAGGAGCCGTCATCGCTGGCATGATTGCCGACAAATATGGTCGCAAGCTACCAATCTTCCTGGCCTGCGCTGTTTTCGTTATTGGCACTGTACTCCAGACAGCCGCGTATCATCTTCCACAGTTTGCTGTAGGCCGCTTCGTTGTAGGCCTGGGTGTCGGCTCGGCGGCTATGGTAGTGCCTCTGTACATTTCCGAACTAGCCCCAGCCAAGTATCGCGGCCGAATGATTGCCTTCAACAACATGAGCGTTACCTTTGGTCAACTTCTCGCTTCAGCCATCGGTGCCGGCTTTGCACAAGTCGGAGGTGCTAACTCACAAGCATGGAGAGCAACAGTCGGTATTGGTGCGGCACCCGCCATCCTTCTTGCTGGCCTCTTGACTCTCTGCCCCGAATCTCCCCGTCAACTAGTCGCACACGGAAAAGTAGACGAAGCCAGTGTCATCCTCACACGCCTCTATCCGACTTCGACCGAAGAGCAGCGCCGTGCGAAGATTATGAGCATCGAGATGAGCATCAACGAGGCTACACAAACAATGGTAGACGATTCAGTATTCAAGACGCTAGCCCGCATCTTCACGACTGCATCCACATTCCGCGCTGTATTCGTAGCATGCACGATCATGGCCATATCGCAGTTATCTGGTTTCAACACACTTATGTACTACTCAGCAACCCTGTTCAAGATCGTAGGTTTCAACAACGCCACCGCCGTCGCCATCACCGTTTCCGCTACGAACTTTATCTTCTCGCTCGTCAACCTTGTCATCGTTGACAAATTCGGCCGTCGTCGCATACTCCTGGTGACGGTCTTGGGAATGAGCATCTGCCTCGTCATTGCTGCCGTCAGCTTTTCTTACATCCCAATCGATCTCCACACATTAGCTGTTCAGAGCGACGAGATTGGCTGGCCGGGCTATGTTCTCATTGCTACAATCATCATCTTCGTTGGCTTTTACTCTAGCGGAGTCGCGACAGTGGTAAGTGATTTTCCTGTACAAGCTGCATGTGAGACATATACTGACTTCGCACGTCAAAACTTAGGCATGGATTGGCACCGAATTGATTCCCATGGAGGTCAGGGCAGTTGGTACGATGCTCAACACAGTAACATGTTGGAGTACCAACATCATCATCGCCTCAACCTTCCTATCCATGATGAAAGGCATCACCCCGTCTGGAGCCTTCGGCTTTTACGCAGGAATCTGCTTTTTCGGCTGGCTTTTCGTTATCTTCTGCTTCCCCGAAGTTAAAGGCATGCCACTTGAGGCCATCCGAGAGGTCTTTGAACATGGATTTGGTGTCAGGTATGCGAGAAAGTGGCAGAAGGAAAACAAGGAGTTTGCCAAAGTCAACGCGGGCAATTCACAAGCGTTCGGGCATTGATCAAATACGGGGGCTAGCAAAGGGATTCTCTTCATGTGAACATTTTAGTTAGGCTTTGCATGAAGCGAGTGATGACATGACGAATACATTACAGTACTTCAAGTTGTACAGTGCTCTAGCATACTTTGTAGTGTGCCGTGATGTCTCGTTGGTAACCAAGCGAGGTCCAAAAATCCGTTGCATACCTCCTGGGAAACGTTGAGATGTGAACCAACTCTGAGAGCGAAATCCGCGAATAGCAATGTTGAAACATTGAATGCATTTGTGCAACAGTAATAGACTGTTTATGGATACGAACTTGGGATATACACAATGCATGTTCTGAAGTGATGAGATAATACCTCAGTGTTAGTGTCATGTTCCCTAACCAAGTACCACGGTACCTACAATCGGTTCCCCATCTTCACCCCTAACAACACACCTCACCAAACATCATATCAACGAAATATGCAACATATTCCTGCTTCCTAATCCTCCAACCGTCTCATCTCAAACAACAATACAACGCCACCACCATGCGCAAAGCAAGCCTTGTCGTCATCCTCACAACAGCCATCAGCGGCGTAACAGCCATCGACAAGATCGCTCGCAAGGCCGAAAGATGCATTGCCTATGCCGTTACAGATAGATCATGGACGGAGAACAATCTGAGAAGGCGGAGGGTTGTATACGATACTACGGCACATGTCGCGCACTACGATCAGACGCTGTATAGCATTGGATGGATGTGGTCGAACGAGAAGAAAGGTACATATCGCACTGAAATCCAAAGACCAAGTGCTAACTACCGAAAATGATAGCATGCAACGCCCACACCATAGACACGGTTGTGTACTACAATGGTATAGTCATACCGGGTGGCGCCTATGTGATCGATAGCAGTGAGGTACTGAGTGAGGATGGCGACCGCGCACATCAGTGTCTTCTGGACGTGTTTAAAGTTACCTTGGGTAACAATTTGAACTGCACGGCAGTATGAAGTGAAAGCAGATTGGAAAAGGGGGATTCGCTAGTCATTGGATTTGGATAGCTGGGATTCTGAGTTGTATGAGAAGTACTACTTAATGCAGAAATGCGTCATGAACGTCTTCTCTGGGATGACGCAGTAAAAAGCTAGCAATGTAGAATATACTGGGTTGTACAACTTCGAGAGATCGTGCTCCTTTTTTACGCATCCCACCTCTTCGTGTTATCTCCGCTCTTCACCTGCAAATAGTTCCCGGCAATCGGCGCTTTCAGTCCAGCATCAGCTATGAACTTTGGCCAGTCAATACCGAACCGGCTGCTAACGGCTTGTTTATGCGCAGCCGGTACCACGAAGTTTGCCGGTTGCTCATGCAGCAAGAACACGTAACGATGAGTGGGAGGCGCACCAGCGGGAGGTGCAGGGCCGAAGTACGACGATGGGGTTGTCGCTGTTGTGGTGAGGACGGTTGTACCGTTCTGCTTGGTGCTAGATGGCGTATAATCCTGCAGGAGCGCATGCAAAACAGTTGTCGTACGTCCATTCTGAGAACCGTCGATGTCTTCGTAATGTCAATGTACTGGGCTTTGCGAGCATAGTTTTAGATCTTACCAATCATTGCGAGGAGGTACTTCCCGCTAAGTGTCGTGTTGGTGAGGCCAATGACAGGAGCTCTTTGCGTGACTGATCATTGTCAGCATAATCCTTCTTTCCTCGTATCTTACGCTCATACTAGATTTCCTGACGACGATACCAGGGCTGATATACTGCGTCCCGTAGTATACATCCAGTGTTGCATT